TAAAAAGTCAAAACGTCTAAATAGGTTTCGACATTCGACAGTTGTCAATACTCTGAGGTTTCGTCAAGCAACTATAAATGTATTCGCTTATAGAGCTATCAAATTGTAATAGAAATGCTACTTTATCTATCTTTTCTATCTCACATTGGAACTTCTCTATATCGGATTGATCAACTTGTGCTATATTACCCATGGTCTGTGTTATAGTTATGTTAATATATCTAATTTATTATAGCAAAGTGAAAAAATAAATAAGCGACTTTATGAAGCAAAAAAATCTTCCAAGCTGAAGATCACTGCTCCAGCATAGTTAGATCAGTAGAGTATCACCATTCTGCTTGATTAGCTAGTATTCTATCACCAGCTCTCGACATTAAGGTGGAAATAATACCTTGAGTCGAAGATTGACTAGCTATAGATGTATTGAAATATCGACTAAGTAAATTACTAAGTGATCCAATCAGATCAGGAATTGTTATAGCTCCCACGAAATTCTCAACATAGATATTTGGATTAAGTGGAACGAGCTGATCTACAGTCTCTTTGCTAATTTTATAACACCCTCTCAAATTAAGATATTTTAAATTAAGACATGATCTAGCAATTTCTTTGATAATTAATTCAGTAATTTCATAACAGCTAAGATCAAGTTGCCAAAGCCTTGGACAAGAACGAATAACATTGCAAATTGATATTTCAGAAAACTCTATGCGATTAGAAATATTTAGACATTTTAATTTATGACATGAATCTGTGATTGCAGTTAGACCTTATCATTTCGGTCGAAATATATTACATAAAGCAGATATATTGAGATACTCCAAATTTGGATATGATTCTACTATTAGCTTTAGAACTTTACCAACAGACTCAGACTTCATACTTCCTTCAAAATCTAAATGAATTATATTTGGGAACATGTGTACAATGCTTTTGATTTTTCTATTTGAAAGCCGGTAGTGTGTTATTTTAAGATGAGTTAGTTTTGAATTATAAACTGACCTTCTTCCTCCTTCGGGTACTATTTTTAAAAATCTTTCTAATCAAGTTCGTTCCTCTGCTTCCTTTCCCTTTAGCTCGATGCGTCTCCATAAAATGGGAGCATCACATTTATACCACAATCGGGATACAAATAGAATGGAGTAGAGAGATTTATCTATCACTAAGAAATGTAAAATTTGTTCTAACAGTTCTGATATAAAAAAATGCTTGTATGCGCTATAAATAATATATGCTTTATCTTTAATCGAAAAATAAATTAGCTGAGCCTATTTTGCCACATAATATGTGACCCAGCAAATTCTTTTGAGCTGGTGATAGTATACCATTCCGGCCATATTTCACAACAAAGTTCACAGGCAAGAGGTGGTATTTTAACTAGACTTATAATTTGTGGAAGATAGAATATATCAGATTGTATGAATACATGGAATAATAGTGTCAGATTCTTCACATTAGGCAGGTTAAATATGAATTGCTTAAGCACTTTCTCTCTCCAATGCCTAACTGCTTCTGTATTCCAATAAGTTTTGATATCACAAAAAAGGTTATTCCAGTCTATATATTTATGCATTAATGGTATATCCCATTGATATCGTGTTCCATATTCTTGGATAAATTCATCATAACCTCTACCTAATATTTTGCTAATAGATCAATTGATTATATTCAAAAAAATAAAATTACGCAGTATTTTAGTGATTATGCAAAGCACCTTTAGCCTGCTCTGGATTAGTTAGATCAGACTCCCAGATACTCGGGATAATCGAATCCCACATATGTGGCATTTATTTCTGAATTTCAGCTAGCATTACATCAATTTTAACTAACATTGAATCCATATCCATAATCTGCTGAGACTTTCTTTCAGCTTGGCGTTGGGAATAGAGTTGAGACGTAGGCGAAGAAGCCTGTATTTGGGGTTTTGGGCTATAAATTGCCTCAGATTCAGATTCATGATCAGATTCAGTACTGTTGTCTTCTGATTCTGTATTACCTATAACATAATTATCACCTACATCAAGACGGTCTGATTCCTGCCTCATTGCAATTCTCGAAAGCAGTTTAAGATGTTGGGGGTTGGTTTTTTACCACCATGAATTCTGGAAGCGTGTTTAGCTCCATAATCTCTTAATTTTCCAGGTATAGTTCTATAAGGCTCTTGCTTTAAGAATTCGTTAAATGACCAAGCATTATGTTTTCCACTTTCAGTAAAGATAGGATCACATAACTTTTTACCCTTAATTGCATCTCAGATCCAGATGAGTAATTCCCTGACACGTTCTGGATTCTTCTCTATAGAAAGAAATGGTCGGGCTCAGGATTCTCCTTTTTTTTTCCTCTACTTTTTAAATAACCTATGCAATACCAAGAATAGCCATCTTTGTACTATGCTGGAATATTTGAAGGATCTGGTTTATAGTGATTAATTTGAAGTGATCTTACTTCTCCTGGTCTCATACTCAACATCACTATCACATCTGCAAGATCCTCTCTAATAGGAATTTTGGAAACATCCATGTTTTGAATCCTTTTACTCATATTTGTTAAGGAGAAATATATGGGAATTCTATCTGGATTAGCCATTTGTTTCTTAGTTCGCTTTTTCTGAATTTTATTAGAATCTTGAATAAAATCCTTATCTTTGGCAAAGGTATTAATTATTGCAGGATCTACACTGCCTTCTGCTAACTTCACATGGAATGTTGACTGACGTGAGACGTCGGCAACAATTTCATTTTCATCATTACTCTTTGGACCCAATTTCCAATAATTAGCGATAATGTCTATAATATCACCGGTCTTAGTATAATATTTTGCCTTTCCTCTATGGTGTCAACGTCTGAAATCAACCTTACTGCGCCGATCATTGATGACCTATGGAATGATGACGTAATAAGTACTGTGCCA